GGAAAAATAAAGGAATGCAACAGTGGTTGAAATACTTAATCTAATTCTTGCTGGAGTTCTAGAATTGAAATAAAGCATAACCAAATTTGCAATAATTGTTTTCTTTTGTTTGTAAATCCAGTACCCTTTTTAGTACTGTGCTGCTACAGTTATCTTTTGCATACATATAGATTGCTTAGCTGATGTTTAACAAAGATGGCAAAATAAAAATTATGGAGTATAGAGGGAGAGAACAGTTATGATTACAGTAGAATAGCTATGATAACATTACTTAGCAAAACAGTCCTGTGACACAATAATATTTAATATTTTAGGTGTAGAATGTAAAAAACAATATTCAACAACTTCCAGAAATTGTTGGGGTTTTTTTACACCAGAGAAGTCACTATTTGTACAGCTTTTAGCAGGTAACTCTATTTACTGAGACAAAATGTCATGGTAAGACCAGTTTTCAAGACTTCTAAGTGTGTGAAACCTATCTTCCATGAGAAGTATCAATTCTTGAACCTTTCTTGCTAAGATTTTGCAGAACATTGGGCTAATACAACCTTTCATTGCCCCTACTTTCAGAACTGATCCACCGACAACACCAGTACAAATTATATCATCAAGGAATTTGCCTCAAAGAAATTACTGCCATCCAAGGTTGCTTCTGAAGGCTACAGCTGCCAAGAAAGACAGCTGACTGGTTCTTTGTTACAGGGGAAAGTCTTTATTCCCCTGCTACAGATCTTATGCTTTATTACAGATGCATAGAGCCTTCAAAGTAAATATCAAACACTGCAACTTTAGAGAGTTTAATAGTTATTTTTCTCATTATAATAATTCTATTTATCTCACATTACAGTCAATTAGCAGGTATACAAAAGTCACTTGTGCTTTATGCTTGGTCTACTCAACTCTGAAGAAAGCGGGAGAATTCATAGTGAAAATAGTAGCTCCAGTGAATAATGTTCACAGTCTTCTGTAAAAGCTGGATAAACACATGTGAATTGCAATACCCAAGTGACAATAACCTGGTCAAATCTTGAGGATTTTCCCCAAGGAGAACGAATCAAGGTAACTGCTCTGCTGCTTTCTCCTGGAGCATGAAGACACCAGGACTTTCTGGGGAACTGTTTGTAAGAACTCAAATGTCTCAAACTATTTTTTCCTAGCTGACTCCTGAAAAGAGCAGGATTATGTCAGGACGTTCAAAACTATTCAGCCATTGGCCAAAGTTGGTGAGAGACCACCCCACAATGAAAAATATCAATCCAAATAAGCATGGGCAACTCACAAACAGCAAAACCATCATGGCATATGGAAAGTGCTCAGCAAACAAATCTATAGGTGTGACAATAGGCTCTGCCTGTGGTATGGTCTGCTGCCATGGTACTGAAGTGCACTGAACTGCACCTAGAACACACACAAAAAATTAAAAAAATCAAAATAAGCCTCCAAATGTAAAACTGTATTTTCAAGGACCTTCAGTAACAGTGTTTGTGGGAGTGGAACTGTGAGCTGGTATGGAACAGGACTGCCCTGAATCAGAGGGAACGTCTGTCAGAGGCAGCATCATGTCACAGAGAATTCCACCACAGGAAAGTGCTGGAGGAACAGATTTACAAGAAAATACAAATTAGCTAAATATGTACAGCATGTCAGAGTGATAATTAGGGAGACATAAAAAACTACAAATAAAAGCAATAAGCACATGCTTTGAGGCTCATATGCGAAGATAAAACAAGGAATAATGAAATAAGAAAAAAATAGGCAATCTCAAAATTATCTTGACATTGAGATATTAGCTTGTGGAACAGTTTGTTCAACAGAGGGACTGAAGCTGCATTGTCTGAAAGCTTTGCAATAAACCTAAACAAAAAGATTAGAAAAGATTAAATGGTGAGCACTCTGCCATTGACACAAAAAGAGCAGATGTGCTAGTACATCTTGAGGCTTTGGGGTTTTTTAAGGCTGTTACTCATACACAAGCATGCTTTATTTTTATTTCTCAATAATTATGTGAAGTAGATATTAAAGACTACACATGCCCTTGATCTGGGAAAGAAACTCTAGTTATTAATGATGCAAGTTCAGAATACAGCCTTGGCATAGTTATACAGCCATAAGTATGATAAATGTGAATGGATAAAACTAAACTAATAAAAAAACCCAAACAACAACAAACCACCAATGCGCCAAGGCACTGCCTTAGGCAAGGATTACCCATTACTCTAGTTATCCATTGCTATATTGTAGAAGAAATAGTCGACAACATTTAACAAGAATGTTAGGATTAAAGCACTCAGCAATGCAGTGACCAAGTTTCAGATGTTTCATTATGTAGTGAAATTTATAAACATGAGGAAGGTACCTATACCCTCTTCAAGGAGAGAACCAAATATGCTTGAAATCTAACACAGGCTAGGAAAAAACCTAGTCAAGCCAAAAGTAAGTGATAGTGAGAGAAAGGCTATATCTCTGTTTTCCAAATGACATTAGTCCTTAATGACAGATGACAAGGAGATACCTTATTTTATCTGGATCACATCTGCAAATCCTCTCCTTTCTCACAAAACAGCTATAATTGCTGGTGAACGCTTTAATCAAGAAGAAAGTATGGATGGCAACCATTTTGATGCAACGGATATTTAATTATTACAAGGAAAGTCATACAACTGTAAAAGATATGACTGGAAAACCCCACGAGGAATAATTTTATCTCTGTTTAAGTAAGTTATTCCAGTGGAAGACAAGATTTTACATAGCTTTGGGCAGCAGAATAAGTTATGATTTGAGAAGGTTTTAAGTCATTTAACTACTGCTGTACTTAGCAAAAGGGAACAGAGTCTTTTTTTTTTTTTTTAATAGCAAGCTCTTAAAATCTAGCCAATTAGACCCCACTGTTCGAACAGGGAGAGGAATGCTCAGCCTGCAGCCATGCATCTGCTCTATGATTTGAGACAGCAGTCCCACCCTGTGAGGCCAGAAGTATGTTTGTGCCCTGCAGCCAGAATAACACTGATATGCCCTGGGACTTGTACTGACAGAAGCACAGGTACCAGGGACCTTGTGGGACCTCCATACAGGCACCAGCTAAGCAGGTGCTCTGGAAGTCTCATCTCTGAATTACAGAGTTCACACCTCACTATTAACATGAGACTCCAGCCTTGAACTGTCTGGAGTGCATGCTTGGTATAAGTATCGGACACGTGTATTATTGAGGTCTCAGTGTTTATGATTGCCATTATGGGTACACAGACCCTAAGAAAACACAGAATACCAGGTTAATCTCCCTTTCTGAGATAACCGTGTGTGCTTAGGGAATCATGTTCACTGTCTTATGCAACCAGAATGGCATAATCAAGTCATATTCAAGAAAAGAGAGAAGCATTAGAGTATGTCATTAGATTTTTTTCCTTCAGCTATACACATATACATACATATACCCCCCACAATATATAAGGTTTTCACTTATGGAAAAGAGGAAACAAAACAAAAAGGGCTACCACACCACCACACAACCTGTTTCAACTCGCTAAATCAAACAAAGATGAAACTTGGTCCTATGTTGGCCCCTGAACCAACAAAAAACTTGAGGCATAGACATGCCTATATTTAACTTTCCCTTAAAATAAGTATAGCAGTCTTCCAGTAAAATAAGTATTGCAGGCTTTGAGTGTCCTATCACTTCTATTTTAGTAGGAAATCCTTAAAATATGCTACGTAAGACAGCATAAACAAAAAGAGCTGGTAAAGAACTGCAATAAGGAAAATACTACCCTTCCCTAGTCTACTCCAGTTTTCCAGGGCATGGCTTTTCCTCCAGTCTTGTTCTCAACCCAGTAGACTTTCACTGGGTTCCTGCATGGCACCGATCCCCATATAGATCCAGGTCCCTTGGAAAAGTCATTCCACTGTCCCAAGCCACAGCTCTGTACCTGTGCCCTGTGGTCACCTCCCTGCTGTGACCGCATGCATGGTCCCTCTGACGGACAGAAATGTCTCCTCCTGCAAATGATCACTGCTTTTGCAGAGAGTATAATCTCTGTCTGCTGTACAAACAACATCTCTGTTATCCTGAATACAGCTGCCAAGAAAGGCAACTGGCAGCCCTTTCTCTCTCCTTTAATAGCCCAGGTTTTCAAAGGAACATATTTTAAGCAAGCTGAAAGCAAAATACGCTAAAACACAACCAAATGCATCTGTCACAGTTCTCAAAAAGCTCATCACATTGGTTCAGAGTCTCTCTGATGCAAAAAGAAAGAATAATTACACTTAATTACTGTAACCACACATCAAAGGGAAGATATAACTAATGACATGAAATTATCGATCTCTAGTGGTGTATGTTTTGCAACCCAGAACTGCTTTCGGATAGCCTATAGAAAAAGTCGTATGCTGAACTTTAAATTCCATAGCTACCACAATACAGTCTAAAACCAAGTGAAAATTTTTATTTTCCTTGTTTGATTGAACAAATATTAGCTGCATAACTCTTTCACCTAGTAGAATATTAACATTTATTATGGTTTCCTGATCCAGCACTACCTTTAAACAGCCACTTTTCCAACCAGTCTTAACTTCAGTTCATCCAATCCAGTTTTCTTACTGAACCCACAGAGATATTGTTTGCTCAGTTATAACACTGTTTAAAAGAAAACCCACATTAAATTTGTTTGAATTTCAAGTTTCAAATATATTAAACCAGCAGCTATATTGCACATTATTAGAAACCTGTTTTGTATATAAACCATTTCTTAAAGTTTCATATCACAATTGAGAATCTGTATGATGACACTTAAATACCTGTATAATTCCTTGAGAGTCTCATCTAGTCCTGACAAGTCAGTACAAGAAGTCAGAGACACTTCTGATAAACAGGGTAGATAGAAAGTCATTGCTGAGAGAGGTAATTAATTTGGATTCCTGCTTACAGTGACTTTTTCTTCCCATTTTTCTGCAACCCCCTGCAAGCATTTTTCTCCAATCAAATCAAACTAGATGGTTCTTCGTACCTGTATGTTTTGTAAAAGAGACATCTCTTCAGGGGGACTTTAATCACATGTTCCTGAAGGCCCACAAAAAGGACACTCTGGCTGTGCAGGATCTGAAGGCTCCTGATAGGCTCTCGCTGACTTTTTGGCAGCAGTTCAATTTCCTCGAGCAGGCAGCTGCTTGAAGTCTGGTTCATTGGGGCAAGTACTTTCTTAATAGTACCATAGTCTGCAAATGCAAGAGGAAAATGAGTTACTAAAAATCGTAACACAAATTCTAACTACTTAGTGTCATTCAGTGAATGAATCTTCATCTCATGCTGGATGTTTTCAATGAAGCCTCAGAACATGGGAGTACTTTGGCTGGAGTTTCCTGAATTGCTTATAGTACAGTGAAAAGAACTTGAGAACAGCCATTAACATTTTCTGTGTGATGTAATATAGTAAAAAATAATCTTATTAATGTATAACAGACTTTACACCAGTAGTCACTAGAAAACAAGCTTTCAAAGTCTGACCATTATAAATGCACATTCACAGGAAGGGTTACTGGTTTTAGTTTACCAGACTGTACTGCGCTTTACTATGTTTAAAGCAGTTTAAAAAGTAAGAAAGTCCATCATTGTCCCAGTCTGTTTTAAAATACTATTTGTTGAAAACTATGGCGTTTACATACGTATTGTGTTCATATGCATAAATATCTGCAGGTCTTAATTGAGTCTAGGTGAATACAACAATAAAACAAGGCTGTGTTCCTTCTTCCTACTTATCTGGATATTGATCTCTAAAAAAATCTTATCTTTTAGCATTTGCTCTCAACTTCTATTCTTACTGTGGTTTCTAAGCAATGACAGTTAAGCATCACAAACCAGTGTCAGACAACTGATGAGATTTCTGATTCACTCATACAAAGTTTTTAAATAATTTAGAAATATCAAAGAACATTTGTTCTGAACACAAAAGACCACATTCTCATACTGATAAATATTTTAGGTACCTATCTGACCAAAACTGCATTATGCAATCTTCCATGTACCAGCTACAGTAAATTTTAAAGATTCAACACTGCAAACACATACTGAGATTAGCTTATTCATGTGAAGTCTCAAAAGACTGCAACATCTCTTGTGAGTCAATAACAATTTCAAGACAAATGTTTGGGATGTTCTGCAGCCCAGCAAATATGGGTTTTGACATCACTATCACAAAGCCAGAAGCTTTGTGGAGAGCTGGCCATGCAGGGTCTCAGCACAGGTCTAATCCTGCCTTATTGAGAGCTGGTCTCAGCCATGTCAGCAATTGCCTGGTGGCCACGCGCTTGTTGCCTCCCGATGTTGGCTTCACTCTGGGAGCAACCGGGGCAGGGGCTGGCACCTCTACATAGTCACTGCCTTCATACCTTTCAGGGTAACAAGGTGGCGGGAGAGCAGTGTGCAGCTCTTACACTTTGCCTGGGAAGTATTGAGGAACACCAATTCAGTAACCTTAAGGAAATACAAAAAGGTAGCTTCAAGCAAACTTCAAAACTGAAGAGGAGGTGGAGAATTCAAGATGCTAACTACTGTTAAAGTCTCCCTTTTCCTGAGGAAGACTTAATAGTCTTAAGAACTGAAGAAGTACTGGTAGGGGGAGCTTAACACCAAATAACATTTTGTAGGAAGTTTATGTATGAGATTTTAACCATATTATTAACAAAACTTTAATACTTGGATAATATGGGCTTAATTTTATAAGACAGTCGAAACTAACTAGATGAACTATAAATGCTTAGCTCAGTAGATAAAGTGCATTCCCCTTAGTCCCTAACACGATCTTGAGTGTAACAGATAATATCTACATGATAAAGCCTTCTGACTGACCTCTCAATTCTTAATATAATCACTTTCTATAATTGTTTACCTTTTCCTCCTTTCTTGGTATAAACGGGCTTGTCAGGACTCACTGTTTGTATTTATTAGGAAAAAAACTTTCACTAAATGACAATTTCAATTTTCATTAAAATCTAACCTTTTTGCTATTAAAAACCACTCTAATTTGACTACCACTTTCTTTCCAAACAACCTAAAGTACAGTTATATTAAAAAATCAATTAAACCATTGCCAAGAGTCAGTTTTGTCTCACAATTAAGTGATAACTAGCTCAACTGAAGAATCTAAGAAGCAGTGTTTCCACTGGTGATGGCTGGATGCAAAATCTCAGCTATAATTACAGTAAGTTTCAAAGGTCAAAACATGGTCTGAGAAGTGCCCAGAAAAAAATCAGTGGTTGTGTGGGTTAGACTTTATTTTTTGGAGCACAGAACTTGGAAGAGGTACTAGGAGGAAGAAAAGAAGAATCAGTGAGAACATTTTACAGACATAAATTAATAGGTATCACTTTATAGATCAGTTAGTACAATTTCTATCACCTGTCTAACTGGCAGCCAACAGATTCAGTATGATTCATGATTCACTGCAGTTGGCTTGCCTGCATCTTTTTCCTGCATGAAACAAAAATCAGGTACACATTCAGCACGTGCTTCTCGTACAAACTAGTATTTCTTCCTGCTGCTGTGCTGAGTCTGGCATCCACAGACTGAGTCACTTGCTGTCACCTCTGCCAAGATAAAAGAGAAGAAAAAAAAGCAAAGACTGGAGGCCTCCTTCCTCCACGTCTGCATACACGTTTAATTTAAAAGTGCAGCTTTGGATGAGAGAATATTATCAAAACCAAATACGTTGTGTTTCTTTTCTCCTCAGTGAATTTGTTTATTGCAGAGGGCAGAATTCCTTTTTTTTTTTTTTTTAATGTTAAGGCCTATGACCTGGAGAATATGGTTACAGCATCGTACTGCTCTAGTTTGAAATAAAACATTCTCACTTTGAGATGTGCCAGCATTAATGTCTTCCCCAGGACAGCTCTCATTGCTCTTGTTCTTCCTTCTTATCTTGGCATACCCTCCTTATTCCTCCCATTTCCTTTTGCCTTCTTTCAGCATCTCCCAAAACATTCCTTTCCCATTTGCCATCTAAGAGGATCAGCACTCGCACAGAAATGTTGGAAGTCATAACTGACTGGGCTTTAAGTGAAGAAACAGTGCCAGAAATCCCACAGATTATCAGGAAGAAACACTACTCTTCAAACAGCCATGTGGGTCATATGTCAGTTCAATAAAAAAGAATAAAATGTTATCTGAGACCTACTTCTGCCTCAGTAAGCTCTCCTAGTTCTGACCTTTTATAACCTATCTTCTCTGCTTTAAATTCCTCCTGCCTGTGTCTCCGGTTTTGCATGTAGCACCTGGGAGACCAAACTAGGGTGAGGATTTATTTGTATACTACAACTTTGAGACAGACATAGATTGAATTGGTGGCTATGTATGTTCATCAGACGATGGTACATAGCAAGGGTATGTAGCTATCAACCTCCTCAAACTATACCCACATGTAATAACGGCTATACCAGGCTCCCTTACAGTGGAAAATCATTGCCATCTGCTCCAGTGTTTTCAATTCTACTACAATGCATGCAATATCATGCACCCAGCCTCCAGCAAAGATTGCATATTTCCTAAAGAACTTGTTAAAGTCCCATCCTTGAAAGTGTTGACTGTTCAGCCTTTTTCACACCACAGTTGTAAAGCAAAATAAAGAGAGAAGTAGCGAAAGAAATGTGTCTTGAATAGAGCTCTGGGGCATGCAGGTTTTCAGACCTGTCAAAATCTTTCAAGTGAATATTTACTTTATAATCAAACTCATTGTCCACTTCTGCCAAGAAATAGCTAAGAAGAATAGTAAACACAGACCTTCCTAATGGATGTAACTTTATTACCATGGACACAGGGAAAGTTCCAGTTTCATCACAAATGTCAAAGCTGACTCCAACAGCTATATATGAATTCAAATGAATGGCACCTTTGCATCCTGAGTGTAAGCCAGACATGCTGGAATAGATGCAGACACCTGACAGACTTGATTTAAGGATGACCAAGTATATACAGGAGTAGTAAAATACAATGTCATAGGCCAGAATGAGTAAATGTGCTTTAACCTCAATACTTTTTAAAAGACCTGCAAAACCAGCAACTGAACATTAGAAATCTAATCACTGTGAATGAAGATGAAGAGGAAAGAAACATTCTAGTTGAAATATTACAATGTAATGTGTAGGAGACTATGAAGAACCAAATGGAAAGCCTGACATGGACTTGAAGAGAACAAGCTTGGAGGCAACAGAGTCTGTAATGAACAAAATGATAATGGGACAAAATCAAAGGATGGTAAATGGTATAAAGCACAGCTAGCAATGGAGAATGCTGGAAGAGTGTGGTTGAAAATCATTATAACATCTATAGTGACACCTACAAAAGAAAACAGAAAATGAACACACAAGATAAATGGCAGATGCAACAAACTAATAAACTTGTAATTTCTTGAGTTTCCTAACATAAATAAGAACACTTAAAGAAGCTGTAGCAACTTCTTGCTATGGAGGAGAATAAATATTTATCTGAGCCATTATGTTTACAAAATAATGCTGTATTCTTCAAGCAAAAACTTCTTTAGCAAATCATCCAAAATGAGGGAGTGTCAAAGTTCATTTCACCACTTTAAAAGAGAGGAAAAAAACTTTACCTATTTCTTTTTGAGAGGGAAACTTTCAGACCTAACTCTTGTAACTTTTGACAGTGAAACAAAACCTAATTTAATCTAAATTTTACATTAGTTTAGTATAGTATCTTGGAGAGAAGGGTGGTTTCCAAAAAGCAACTGAACCAGCACCAGAACACAGAATCTGAGTCAACATTTTTCAGAGGAGAAGTTTAAGGTATCATCTTCCAGTAATTTTGAAAAAAGTCATTGGTGCCTTCTAAGCTATATGAGTTGCTAGCAAAAAGGTACTTGTAATAGTCTCAAATATATCCTCAGACTAGTTTTATGCCTATATTTATAACTTTACAAGCATTCCTTCACTTTCTGAGCACAAGGTGCCTTTACAGATCTGGAAATGCCCTTGCCTATACCAAGAAAAACTCAAGGAATAGCAACATCCACTGCAAATTACAAACTAAGAATAGTAAAAGTAAATAGGGGCCCATTTAACCATCTTCCCACAAAATATTGTTTTGAAAAGTACAATGCCATAAGTAGATGGAAGAATGTGGTCAATGCAGAATAAATAGTCAAAGCAAGACACAGAAAATGGAAGCTAAAGCTCTTTTCAGTACTTCAAGTGACACTTGTAATTGA